TATTATACAAAAATAAAAGCATAAATAAAATGATCTCGGCAGTAAATGAGTTATTGTTATTTCGAGTTTAAGCATCATGAATGCCGGAAGTACGATTGAAAATTATCTTTGAACAAATATTATCTTGTACTTACTTCGTACTAATAAAAAAGATTTTAAAACTAATATATATAATTTAAACAAATTAAATTTACTTTTAATTTTAATTACTTGATATCGAAACCTGACCTTAAAATTACAAGACGTGATAGTTACACTATTTTAGAATTATTTTATTATATCCAACCTTATATTTAGTACACCTAATATTAATATTTAAAAATTGATGATTCATTAATTATCAATTGATTTATTATGATAAAACATTATAATTTTAAATAAACTTAAAATTTTAAATTACAATATTATAAATAAAAAATAAAATAAAGAAAGCATCATTCAATGTTAATCTATCAATTAATAAATTAAAAATCGATAATTGATGATTTATATTCTATTTAGATCAACTAATATTAAAAAAAATGTCAAGGGTTCGGCTTAAATACCTAACTGCCATTTAAAACCTTTGGCGTAATGAATAGGTTAGACTACGAAGCCCTGAATTTCGATAATTAAAAATGATTAAAACACTATAAAAGGGGTAGTTCTGAATTTCGATAAGTAAAAATGATTAAAACACTATAAAAAGGTAATTACGATGTACGACATCTTTAATATATGGTTAAGGAAATATTTTATCAGAAATGTTAATATTTTTTATAAAATGTTACTTAAAATATTATTTTTTTATCGGAAATGTTAATTTCGCTGCCTAATTTTTGGTAAAAAAATATTTTAGGTAGTGTTCAATATTAATATTTCTAGTAGAAAAAAAATAATATTTTAGGTAGTACTTTACCAGAAAAGATAAACATTTTAGGTAACGCCCAAAATTAACATTTCCGGTTAAAAATAATAATGTTTTATGTAGCACTTTACTGAAAATATTAAAAAAATATTAATATTTTCGGTAGTGCATTTTTTAGCCGTATATTAAGGATGCCGTCCATGAGACATCCGCTAAAAAGGAAAAAGAAAAAAATATTCTAAAATGCGCAAAATAATAATTGATATTGTAAAAAAAATAAAAAGTTGAATTCCGTCATTAGTATTTGTGTTATATATAAATTGTAAATTTAGTCCTTGTATCTTAATTTTACAAAATTTGATCTTTGCATTTTTTGAATTTTAAAATTCTAATCATGATCCAAATGATATAATACACGAACAATATGACTAAATCACTAAGATTTAGAATGATAAATTTGAAAGACATGAGCTAAATATATAACTTACAAATAATATAAGGATACTAACAGAATTTGACTTAATTTATAAAACAACTACTGTTTAGGTCAGAAATTAAATCTCATGATTTAAAAATACAAGGACTACAAATAACCATATCAGAAGACAAAAACTAAACTCACAACTTATGTATAGTCCAGGGACTCGTAGAAGCATTTGACCGAGATAAAAAAAAGGTGTGGATTTAGGGAGGATTTGCTTAGAATTAACAGAGGGACGGCAGGCCATGGGCAATTGGGGTTGGAAAAAGTAGGTGGAGACATGGTCAAGATGAGGACTGAAGATTTGAAGCACTCACCAAAATACCAGCTTGGCTTAGCTCAGCTTGGTTAGCTATCCTAATCAACCAGCCCTCTCTACCAAATAAGAGGCACAAAGTCAATATCCCAACCATCAAAGTCAACACAAATTATTATACCACTTTCCCCCCGAAAAATAAAATTACAAACTATTTAAGTGAAACTATTCTCTTAGACTATTAAAAAAACTAAAATTGCTAATGGTTAGCTAAATAGTATTTTGATTAAATTTTAGTTTTTAATTATTTTTTAATAGTGTGGGTGATTAATCTATTTTAAAATTAAGAGTTAATTGTATCACACATTCTTGAACTATGACTTTATTATAATTTGGTCTCTAAACTTTTAAACATTATAATCTCACCCCTAAATATGGCTACTATTCTAAATTGGTCTATAGACTTTTAAACATTCCAGATTCTTCATCATATCATAACCCTCATTCTATATTGGTCCTCAAATTTTGAATGCTCCATTTTCATCACCGAACTTCTGAATGATTTAAGAGGATGTTATTGTGACATCCAAAAGTTTGAGGACCAATTTAGATTGAATTTCATGGTTTGGAGATGAATTTAGAATATTCAGAAGTTCGGGATCAATTTAAAATGTGAGAAATAATTTGAGGATGAAATTAAAATATTCAAAAGTTTATGGAGTAATTTAGAAAGAGGGTTGTAATTTAGAGACATGTAGTGCAATTAACTCTATAATTAAATATAGAGCTAAATCAACCACTTTTAATTTTTTTAATAATTCAAGGTGATTACAAGATAGTATATATTTAAAATATTTTTCAATTATTAGTAATACACACTTTACAAACGTTATAAATCAAACTTAATTTTTTTAAAAAATTAATCTTTTTATTATTATCGATATAGTTTGATTTATTTTGTCAACATCTTTTAGTTAAAGTTCACTCTCAATTTCTATAGGTATTATTTTGTTGTTGGGCAACACTCAACTCAACTAAAAGTTGAGCTCATAAATTAATTTCCAAACCCATAAAGATGAATCAATGGTGAGAAATCAACCACGTTTGCTCCGATGGCGCAACCCAAGTATTTGAGTTCGTAAAAACTAAAATCTAAAACTTCAAGAGATAACAACATTCTACTTACTCACCCGACACCGCCCAATAATTGTTTTTATCCCAAGTTATGTCGGAATATCCTTTGTCAATACAAAAATATTGTTAAACCGACAATAGATGGTTCAATCGATCTAAACGCTTATGTATTTTGTATATAATTTTTCATTCAATCATTATCGTAAAGATGATTCAATTGATTAAGTAAAAATTAATGATTTAATTATTTCGACCACCAATTTAATTCTTATAATATTTTAAAATTAATATCCAATAAATTCTTATTAAACTTAATCACTGTAACCTATTTAATGTAATATCAAATTCTATTTTTAACAACAAATTTATTGTTTTTATAATTTAATTCAATAATTTAATATTTTATTATATTTTTTATAAATTCTTTTTTCCTATCAATTTCATTGATTTATTTATATTAATAAATTATATTTATATTACTTTTAAAATGATTTTATGATTCCATCATAAATGTAATACAATAAAATTTTATTTTTAAGAAAAAATTATCTACTTTACATTTATATTTAAGTTTAACCTCAGAAAGCAATGATGAGGAGTCCCCTTAATGTAGGGGGACTTTATAGGATAATTAGTAGACCCCATGAAGTAAAAGAGAAAAGTAGGCATAGATGATGACCTCCATCATTATGTTGGAAATAAAAGTTATACAAAAATTAACCTTTTCACTCCTCTTTGCAAGCTTGTCCTACCCCATATTTAGGATGAGTAACAAAATCGTGAAAATAGAAAAATCAATACGAATCGAGTAAAATGGTTCGGTTCGATTTGATATTATACGATTCAGTTTTTAGTTCGGTTTAAAGTCTTAATTATTTTGATTTGATTCAGTTTGGGTTTTTCATATGAAATCCATTTGTTTCATATGGAACCCATTTGTTCTATATTAAACCGAATAGGCATTTTTTTCAAAAAAAAATTATAATTTCAAGTGATTTTTTCATTGAAAAACCGAAAAACCGAACTGAATCGAAAAACCCGAACCGTTTAAAAACCGAATAGAATCGAAAAAACCGATTTCGGTTCTTTCGATTTTTTAATCATTCGGTTTTGATTTCGGTTTAAATTTAAAAAAACCGTTTATTTTAGTTCGGTTCAATTTTTGATAAAAAACCGAACTAAACCGAATACACCCCTACCCATAATCCACGCCATGGAACAATAATATTACTAACATTCCAACCTTTATTTTCAGCTTTCACAGTTTTCAATTTAAAACCTTACTTTATACCTGGATTTAAGGTGTTCTTAATGTCCAAATTAAGAGAATAATTAAAATTAAATAATGAAAAGGTTATATTGTGTTTTTAATTGTTTTAAATTATTCTATTTCTAAAAGAATAATGGGGGGAATGAAAAATGCTGGGCCGAACTAGCCATTGCAATGTATTTGAATGGGGTGGGGGAGCCCTAGATGGCTCAATAAGGCCCAGAATTTCCATTTACATCAGAAATAAATTCTGTTGTTGATCAAATATTAATTTTTGTAATTCACCTAAAAAATATTATTTTTAAGCATTTAAATATATATTTTTATATTTAATCTATAAAATGATCTTAGTAGTTAAAGGAGTGTTGTTCTCCTTTAAAATCACGAGTTCAAGAAGTTACACTTACAAATATATGAACGTAGTCAATGACTAAAAATAATTCTAAATATATATTATTTTACCTCAGACTATATATATATATATATTATTTCTTCCACCGAATGAGTGGCACATATAAAATTTTAAAGTGAATATCAATAGTACAATGAATAACTAATATAAAGAAATTCGAATTCTAAAATAGACACATGTCTATCCTGAATAAATCTTGCATCTGCCACAGTATATTCAACACTTTGATAAAATCATCTAAAATCACCGACGACTTAATCCTTAAATTATACATTTTTTTCATTTTAATATTTATTTTGTAATTTAAATTATCATTATGTCTCGATTTACCTAAAAATATAGGCTAATAACATCATACATATGGCATTGATGATGTATTTGCCTCACGTTCTTAGTTGACAATGTCAATTTTTTTATAATTTTCGAATAATCGAATCAAATAATAGTTTATGTATGTGTAAAAATATTAGGTACCAAAATACAAAAAATCATATAGTTTGGAACTACATGGATAATTAAGCCGAAAGGTTAAGGCTGCAACAAACAGCTACCGTCACAGCGACTCCCAATTCGCTTGGGAAAAAAAGAGGGTTGACAACAAAGAGAAAGGGAAGAAGAGAGCCGCCTCCATCGCTCTCTCTGAAACAAACCCAGAATTTTCAACTCCGTTCTCAGGTATCTATTTATCTTATCATAAACTTTGATCTTTTCGTTGTTATTTTTGCGTTATATCGATCTCATTCTTTACTTGGTTTCAGCTCTTTTGCTTCTATATTGCACCATTTTTTCAACACCTACATGGTTTATCGACTGATGGGTACTCTTTTTCTTTCTTTATTCGATGATTAAGCACATAGGCTTTGTTGGTTCATTATATTTTGAGTTTTAAGTGAGTGTTTTAAAGGTGGCGAAGAAGAAAAAACATGATGGTTTTGGTTATCAGAAGCATTGGGGATTTAGGAGATTAGTCGAAGGAAAAGAAAGCACTAGCAATAATAATGGCTTTTTTAGAGGGATTTAGTGCTGTAAAAAGAGAGCACTTGGTGGTGTTAATTTAAGCTATTTTGTAGCACTTGATTGATTTATTTTCTGGTGAATGATTTTGTTGTTATTTAGAGTATACCTTTCCTTTGTTTAATGCTAAGGTGCATTGAGAATTGCTTGCTAAAAGAGGTGAAAGGCTAGTTCAAGAAATTCTTACTTTCGGTTGATCAGAGCGTTTCGTATTAATTTTGTACTGTTTTTGGAGATTGAAAACATAGAGCACTCTATGTTTGGTTTTCAGTGAATGGAAATTAATGGATTATTTCTTTTGACAGGGAAAGAAAAGGAGTCACTTTTTGCATAGTATAACTGCACTTGTCATTCTTTTCGGCTATTTATGTTCATCTGTCTCATAATAAGCTTGTGAATGTCACCTCTTGGATCGGTTCTTTATCATTCGGGGAAAGCTATTCTTCTATGGGTGCGGAGTGTAGATAAGGTATCCATAATTGTTGATATTGGTGATTAAAATGTTGTAGGCACATGGATTGCTCCCTTTTGTATTTGATAGAGAGGGTTAGAGCTGAAAATTCCTTTTGAAACATACAGTAGAAAAACTCTTATAAGCAACAAGCTCTTTGTTTATTCTGTGTTATAGTTTGGAGTTTTTGATTTATTGTGATTGTCATTCATATGAATATTTTGAGGCAGAAGTGCTATACGATGTTTAGATGCGATGAAATCTCATTCTCTATGATGTATAACCTATTTTATTACTTTTCCAGATGTTAGTGAAGACATCAAATGACATTGCTGGATTTATTATTCTCCGTATGATATTCATAAATATAATTAGCTTGCATTTAGTGGCTTGTAAAAACTATTCCTTTTGTAGTAAAGATGTAGATTATCCTCTTTTCCTTTGGTTTGGCTTAGTGTCGTGTCTTTGTATAATCGGCACTTTTAATATTGGTTTAGTTATGGGGGTTAAACATTTCTTGAAAAATCTTATTGTCTGTGCAGATCATGTTACGAGCAAAGCATATTGGTAACCTGTCCAATGGTGCAAGGTCATTTCTATTTAGTGGCTCACGAGGTACTTCTGCAGATGGAAATTCATGCACCTGCCCTGAGGATGAGACTTGTGTTTCAAGAAGGCAGAACATAGGAAATGAAGCTTTGTCCAAATCCTCAGCTACGGGAGCTCTGAAGTTAGGGACTGCACCCCACGATGTTGATTCTTATGAAACCGAGAGAGCACCACAACTTGTTTCTCAGGCTATTCCTTTGAGTAGATCTAACATTGTAAATTCTGCTCACAGCACTAATGCTGTTCAACACGATGAACATGCATCACCTACCATTTCTGATCATTTTGTTAAAGCTGGCATTGAAGCTGTGTCATTCTTGTCCGATCTGATGAGTTATAAACTTCCTTTGTCTGATGGGGGTTCTATATTAAGCTCACCTAGACACTGTGTGGTTGAATCGACAAGGACTCTTCCAAATATAAAATCTCCATCTTTTAAGCCTGTCAAAAGAGAGAACTTTGCCCAAGTCAATCCAAAACCGTCATGTGGAATAGCATCAGGGGAAAAATCAACTGTCAGCTACCTTGGTACAAAAGATAGAGGCAAAAAATCCAATTTTGTTACAGGTTACAAGCTTGTTTCAAATGCTGAAATTGTGGATTCATCAGAAACTCATAGTAGTTCTGCAAATACTTATGATAGGAGGAAGGCTATACCACAGAGATTGAAAGCTCAATCCCATCGTTTCATGTCAAATTTTAGTTCCAATGTAATACCTTCAAGTGAAAAGGTTTCAGATTCTGGAGTGGATGGTTTCAGGAAATCCTTTAGAGACATGAAAATGGCAACTGGAGTCTCTACGACCAGATCTCTAGGAGGCACTGGGCATGTGGTGGAAGCTGTATCGCAGATATTGCAACAGCTGAAGTGGGGCCCTGCTGCTGAGCAGGCTCTTGAAAATCTCAACCTTTCAATGGATGCATATCAAGCTAACCAAGTTCTAAAGCAAATACCAGATCCTTCAGTTGCTCTTGGCTTTTTCAATTGGCTGAAAAACAAGGATGGATTCAAGCATGATGGTCATACATACACCACCATGGTGGGTATCCTTGGTCGGGCAAGGCAGTTTGGGTCGATAAATGGATTGCTTGACCAGATGGTGAACGATGATTGTCAGCCGAATGTTGTGACATACAATCGTCTTATTCATAGTGATGGACGTGCAAACTACTTGAACGAAGCTATCAATGTGTTCAATAAAATGCAGGGAATAGGTTGTGAACCTGATCGTGTCACATATTGTACTCTTATTGATATCCATGCCAAAGCTGGGTTTCTTGATGTTGCCATGGACTTATACCACAAAATGCAAGCAGTTGGCCTTTCTCCTGATACATTCACTTATAGTGTGATAATCAACTGTCTTGGAAAGGCTGGTCACTTGCCAGCTGCTGACAGGTTATTTCGTGGGATGGTCGATCAAGGTTTTGTTCCTAATCTAGTCACCTACAACATCATGATCGCTTTGCATGCAAAGGCAAGGAACTATGACAGTGCTTTAAAGCTTTATCGTGATATGCAGAATGCTGGATTTGAACCTGACAAGGTCACATACAGCATAGTAATGGAGGTGCTTGGACACTGTGAATATCTGGATGAAGCAGAAGCAATTTTTGGTGTATTGAAAAGGAAAAACTGGGTGTCTGATGAACCTGTTTATGGCCTGCTGGTTGACTTATGGGGTAAGGCCGGTAATATTGAGAAGGCTTGGCAATGGTATCAGTCCATGCTACAAGCAGGGCTGCTCCCCAATGTTCCTACTTACAATTCTTTGCTCAGTGCTTTCCTTAGGGTACACAAGCTGTCAGATGCTTATAACTTGCTGCAAAGCATGGTGGATTTGGGTTTGAATCCTTCTTTGCAAACCTATACCTTGCTCCTGAGTTATTGTACAGAGGCTGGGTCACCATATGATATGAGGATTTGTTGTCAGCTCTTGGCTGTCACGGGTCATCCTGCACATATGTTTCTGATAAGTATGCCTTCAGCGGGACCTGATGGTCGAAATGTGCGGGATCATGCGAACAAGTTCTTGGATATGATGCACAGTGAGGATAGAGAAAGCAAGAGGGGGCTGGTGGATGCCGTTGTGGATTTTCTTCACAAATCAGGGCTCAAGGAGGAGGCTGGATCTGTTTGGGAGGTAGCTGCAGAGAAGAATGTGTATCCCGATGCTGTTAGAGAGAAAAGCTCATGTTATTGGCTGATCAACCTACATGTGATGTCGGATGGTACTGCCGTAACAGCATTGTCTAGGACACTCGCCTGGTTTCGCCAGCAAATGCTGGTTTCTGGAATCAGTCCTAGTAGGATCGACATAGTGACTGGATGGGGCAGGCGGAGCAGGGTTACCGGATCATCGCTCGTGCGACAAGCTGTTCAGGATCTTCTTAACATATTTAGCTTTCCGTTTTTCACCGAGAATGGCAATTCCGGGTGTTTTGTAGGGTGCGGAGAGTCTCTTAACAGATGGTTACTTCAATCATATGCTGAGCGGATGCATTTGCTGTAGTTTGTGGTCAGCCGTAGCATACATGTAGCCTCTTCATTTTTCTTACAGTTTACATAAGCTTTCTGATTGAAAATTCAAACCCGATATCGGATCCAAGTGCTACTGATCGGTGATTGAGCAGCAGGATATATTTTATGTACATGATCTAACTTAACAGGGCATTTGCAAACAGCTTCTCCATCTTCCATCTCTAAGTTTCAATCTATGATGATTTTAACCTTTTCCATTTACTCTGGTTTGGATGCTATGCTGATTGTAGGCTGTCGATGCCGCAGCAATACGAGTGCCGTCAATGGCCGGACGGGGCAATCTGAGAACCGAGGTGAGTTTAAATTGCTTAATTTGTCAATCACATGGTTACTGCCTATGGTTCGGTTCGCAAACTTAATGAAGCACTCTAACTAAAGCTAAGAATTGTGTATACATAAACACATATATTTCTGGATATAAATATATATTAGATTATTTTATTGGATACACGGGTGAAAGCGAACTTGATCTATATCACGATTTGGATTAATCGATCAATTAGTTATATGTGAACAATTATGTTAAGAAAAAATAACTATCAATTGATATTGTGGGGGTGAAACGATAGTCCTTTTGAGCAAGGTTAAGAGTTCGGATCTTGATGTTGTAAATGAATTAAATTGAGTTGAAAGATGCCCTTATATTGAACTTCTATAATATTCAATTAAGATTAATCGATCAATTAATCGAACGTAGATGATTGTAACAAAAAAATTAATCCAACTAAACAAAGAAATACATGGATAACATATAAAAGACCAAATTCAAATATGAATCATATACAAATTTACTTTAATTTTCCACTTGTGTTAACATTTTATTTTTAATAATTTACAGTTTCAGTACACAGATCAAAAACATGCATAATATACAGTTCCAAGATCTATATAATTTGTTTTCTTTTATAGATTTTTAGATTGTTTTATAAATTGACAATGAAACATCACTTTCCCTTTTCAGTTGCAAGTAAACATCACCCATAACTTGAGATTTTATTTTATTTTACGACAAATAATTAAATTTAAGATGTCATTTTTCCCATTAAAAAACAAACTTATACCAACTACGTTGTCTAAATGATTATATGCCTGTAATATGATTTTCTTTATTATTTGTAATATAAATACTAAACTTGTGCCTAGTAGAAAATTGTGGGCGGAACTAGTAGAAAAATGCGAGATATGATTTTATTAATCTGAATATATCTCATATTATCTGAATACATATATGATTTTATTAATCTATTATCCATGTGTATGCCATATGTTCACTTCAAATAAGTGATTTGAATATTTTAATAATTTTATTATATTGAAGTGACCGATTAATGTTTAATTTTAATAATTTACTTAACATTTAAACTATAATATTTAATATTTACTGAAGGAATTAACCATTCATTTTTCGTTTGATATATAACTCGTTTATATATACGATTAACACTTCTTTAGATAAAATGGAAAAAATAAAAATATATTGAAATGCTCTTTTTATTTTATATATTTTTCTTTTATTTAATCATTCATCTTTCCTTTGATTTTTATTTATTTTTTAAAGTATATATTACTTACACCTACCCTTGGTTGGTTGGTACGTATGGAAACCTTTACCTTTCTCCACAATTTTATTTTCTATTATTTCCCACATTTCCCTTCTAAATAACGTTGAGTGTTTTGATTTTAAAATTAAAATATAATATAATAGTTAAAAAGTCTCATATGATATATATAATATTTTTAATATAGTTGTCATATAAAAATATGACATAAATATAAAATTATCAAATCGATTAAACCATTTTGATACCTAAAATATATATATTTTTATTTCCTAATAGTTATAATATTTCCTCTTTTAAACACAAAAATACCAAAAATAAAATTATTTGTTGTTATTGTTATTATCATTTATTTATAAATTAAAATTGGTTAACCCCATTTCAGCTTCGCGCAAATCAAAGCCTCACCCTCTCCCATCCTCTTTGCTGTCACACGCACTCAGAGACGACGACGGCGTCGCAGCGATTCTTCGGCTCCGGTTTCATCGCCGGCGGTATTTTCCGTTATAGTCCCCTTTGAGTCTCCAACTTTGTCCCTCACATTTCCTGTAAGTCAATCTATACTCCTTTCCAATCTATTCTCCGGAAATAAATTAAGAGGACGAAAAGGGAAAAAAGATTTATGCATGTTGATTCGATTGAGATAATAATCGATGGGGCACAAGAAGAAAAACGCTGCTCCGCGTTCCAAACAGCCGACTGTGCCGGCGCCGGCGCCGGTGGAGGTTGTTAACGGAGCAGATGAAGATAATTTGAGTAAAAATAATACGAAGATCGAGGTAGTGGCCGTTCCGGTTGAATCTGACGGTTCGTCTTCATCGTCTTTGGTTAAGGTTGAGTGCGAGCGAGCCCTAACGGCACTCCGACGTGGCAACCATACGAAAGCGCTTCGGTTGATGAAAGAGTCGTGCACTCGTCACGAGAACTCGGCTCACGCTGCTCTAATCCACCGCGTTCAAGGCACGGTCTGCCTGAAAGTGGCATCCATCATGGATGACCAGAATGTCAAACATCGACATTTCAGGAACGCGATAGATTCAGCCAAAAAAGCTGTAGAACTATCTCCGAACTCCATCGAATTTGCTCATTTTTATGCTAATTTGCTATATGAAGCGGCTAACGATGGAAAAGAGTATGAAGAAGTGATTCAGGAATGCGAGCGCGCTTTGGCAGTTGAGAATCCAGTGGATCCCGCTAAAGAAAGCTTACAAGAAGAAACTCAACAGAAAATACCAACTGCGGAAGCAAGGATTTTGCACGTGCAAAGTGAGCTTAGGTCATTGATACAGAAATCGAATATAGCTTCAATTTCTACTTGGATGAAGAGCTTAGGGAGTGGAGAAGAGAAGTTTAGATTAATTCCGGTTCGGAGAGTACATGAGGATCCAATGGAGGTTCAACTAGTGCAAACGAGAAGGCCTAATGAGATTAAGAAAGCTACAAAAACGCCAGAAGAAAGAAGGAAAGAAATTGAGGTTAGAGTTGCTGCTGCTAGGTTGTTGCAGCAGCAGAAATCTGAAGCAGCTTCTTCTTCACCTCTGTTGCAAAGCAAGGGTGATAAGAATGGGATGGATTTACCTTTGGGAAGTGGTAGGAGGAGGAGGAAGACTGCTTCTACAGCTGAAAGGAAAGATTGGGTTCGATCATTTTGGAATTCAATGAGTATTGGTTTGAAGAGAGATCTGCTTAGGATTAGGGTTAGTGATCTCAAGGCATATTTTGGTTTGGTGAAAGATGGATTGGCAAGTGATGTATTATCGGAGGCTTTAGAATTTGCTGAGGTTAAAAAGACTTGGAATTTTTGGCTTTGTTGTAGGTGTAGTGAAAAGTTTGCGGATTCAGAGTCTCACATGCAGCATGTTGTTCATGAGCATATGGGGAACCTCATACCTAAAATGCAGAACGCTTTGCCACAGAGTATTGATAGTGAGTGGATAGAGATGCTCCATAACTGTTCTTGGAAGCCTTTGGATATTTCTGCTGCAGCTAAAATGATTGGGGACCAGTCTAAATGCCAGACTTCAGAGTTATCAGAGGATTTTGTCTCAGGGAACTATAATGAGCAGTGTGATGATTGCTTCAAAGATGCATGGCCTGAGAAGGAAATATTTGTGGATAGTTACAATTGTGGTAGTGTAGAGGGCAATGACTATGACAAAGTTTCTAGCATTGAGTGCAGAGGATCCGATGAAAACAAGTGTTCCATGGCATATCCCCTTGCGGATAGTTGGCCAACAGTGGACGATGCCGAGCGTGCCAAGTTGCTTGAAAGAATTCATTCTACATTTGAACAGCTTATTGGACATAAGTATCTTGCGGTGAGCCATCTTAACAAGGTTATACAGTTCACAATGGATGAGTTGCGGAGTCTGGTTTCTGGTTGTCAGCTTCTGAAGCATGGTGTAGATCGAACTCCCATGTGCATCTGTTTTCTGGGAGCCACACAGCTCAGAAAAATCCTTAAATTCTTGCAGGACTTATCTCATGCTTGTGGCCTGACTAGATATTCTGAGAAGACTGCTCCTGCAGATGATGCAAATGGTGCTACTAAGATTCTTGAGGTTAAAGAGAAGATTGTTCTTAATGAAGATTCTTCTTGTCTCCTCCTAGATGAAAATTTATTATCTGATGCAGCAATAGAAGATTCGGTCCTGGAAAATTCTTGTGGTAGCAATGGGAATGAGTTTGTACGGGATGCTGATGCTCTGTTGTCCTGGACCTTTTCAGGCCACTCAAGTGGGGATCAATTGGCATCATGGATACAAATGAAAGAAGAGAAAACACAGCAAGGAGTGGAAATTCTCCAGATTCTGGAGAAGGAGTTTTATCACCTACAGAGTCTCTGTGAAAGAAAATGTGACCATATAAGCTATGAGGAAGCTTTGCAGGCTTTAGAGGATCTTTGTCTTGAAGAAGGTAAGAAGAGGGAGACCGGCGCTGAATTTGCCCATCGAAGCTATGAATCTGTTCTTAGAAAGCGCAGAGAAGAACTTGTTGAGGCCGAGAATGATGTTATGTTCCTTAGCAGTAGATTTGAGTTAGAGGCTATAGCAAATGTTTTACAAGAAGCAGAAGCGCTGAATGTCAATCAATTTGGTTATGAGAATACTTATGCTGGTCTGACTTCTCAGCTATGTGACTTAGAATCTGGGGAAGATGACTGGAGAGCCAAGGATTATCTGCAACAAGTGGACACCTGCATAGAAGTTGCCATTCAGAGACAGAAGGAACAATTATCAGTAGAGGTCTGCCATCTGCTTTAGGTGCAATTTTCAATATAAAAAATTGATTCTCAACCTGCCATTCTTAATTGTTTCATTTTGTCAAGCAGCTAAGCAAAATTGATGCACAAATTATGCGAAATGTTACTGGGATGCAGCAGATGGAACTCAAACTTGAGCCTGTTTCTGCTCATGATTATCAGTCAATACTGTTGCCTTTAGTGAAATCATACTTGAGGGTTTGTATGAAGCTGATTGGGTGTGTGTGAATTATGCTCATGATATGCCCTTTATTTATTTATTTATCATTTTAAAATTCAGGCACACTTAGAGGACCAGGCCAAAAAAGATGCCACTGAGAAATCTGATGCTGTGAGAGAAGCTTTCTTGGCAGAGCTTGCACGTGATTCTAAGAAGGGTGCTCGAGGAGGAAGTGATAATTCTAGATATTCACAGGAGAAAATTAAGGATAAGAAAAAGAACAAGGAGTTCAGAAAATCCAAGGATTCAAAGGTAGGGTTTACTTTTTATTTTTAAGATTCAGCTGCTGGTTACTTTGGTTGCATATTCCATGGTGCAGGTTTAATTTTTTCTTACTGTTTCAGGCTTCTGGTGTAAATGAGCTTCATATGCTGAATGATGAGACTGCTGAGAAAGTGTATATTTCCCTTCTGTTTTCCATTCTTTTATTCTCATTATCCATTAAGCATTCTTCTCTTTGCATAGTCTAATGTTGATCTGCATTTTTATTCATGTTTTATTGCAGTTCTGTGGTTGTTGCTTCTGATGGTAACCATCTAGATTCTGAAGTTTCTGTGAATACTGATGACTTAAAACAGAAAGAAGAGGAATTTAGACGAAAAATAGAACTTGAAGCAGAGGAAAGAAAGCTTGAGGAGACTTTGGAGTATCAAAGACAGATTGAGAATGAGGCTAAACAAAAGCACCTTGCGGAGCAAAATAAAAGAGCTATTCAGGCATATGAAGAGAAAGCGCCCGATGGATTGCATAATGCTTATTTGGATGCTGGTAATCTAGATGTTCAGGTGAGCATTATGTTGTTCTCTTTCCTTTATACATGATGCAATGGGAAGTTGATCAATGCTATCGTTCCGAGACGTGCTTTATGCTGTTAACTCTATGGGTACCATGATCAGATAATCAGAAAACTGTATAAACTTTCTTTTCAGCAATATTTGGCAATAAGGAGCATAGTCACAAACAATTTGGATAGCGTACCAATGAGCACTGCCAATGGTTCAGCTGTGCCAGTGACTTCTAATGCATCTGGCACTCTTGCAAATTTTATACAAGGTTAGCAACATAACCAGGTTTTTTAATTGGCTAGTTTGCCCCATGGTACTCTGGAGATAATCTTTTTACATTATATAGGACTACCTAATGGCGCAGTCCCGAAAGATGGTTTGCTTCCTAGTGAGCAATGGACAGGAAGAAAGGGTAGACAGCATAAGGGTAACAACAAATTTCTTGATGGAAAGGATCAACTCCTGTCATTTGAAAGCCAAAACATTCAAGTTAGAAGCTCTCATAGCAATGTGGAAGAGCAAGTTCGATATGTTGATGGTGGCCCTGGGGAAGGTGGTACAAAGACTTTAAGACAACTGCAAGCTGAGGAAGATGATGAAGAAAGGTTCCAAGCAGACCTTAAGAAGGCCGTTCGCCAAAGCCTTGGTAATGTTTTTACTGCATTTACATTTTCATGCTTATCGTTCTTACTAGTTTGTGATTGGTATTTGTTGTTTTGACACGTCACACGAACTTGGTGAACATAAAAGAACTGTTTCAGTGGATGTTTGGTAAATTTTCTGGGCACCGATTTTCACAGTAGCATCTTTTGAACAGACTTTAAAATGATTTCACTAATGAATTTTTTCTTGTTAAAAGAAAATTTTCTGTTTAATCTATCTATTTAAGGAATATTTTGCAGTCAATAATGCTTTTCTGCAGTTTTGTGGAGACAGCAATACTTCTTTGCCTGAGTATTTGTTACAAAGGTCAAGTATTGATGTCCTTAATCTGATTGGCTAATGTGCAAAAAAAATTTGGACACCAAACTGCCTAGTTAGTTATGCATTTTTATTTAGCTTGATAGTTTTGGCTCAATGCTAGAGAGTGTTCTGGTATTTGGCGGTCTATTGTGGAGTTGCATGAATATTCTCACATGTATACACACTTCGATATGTGCTGAAATAAGTTTCACTCATATAAAATGGACTTGCAGTTTTTGTAATATATGTATTCCTTACTGTGGTAAGGTTTGGTTGTGTGTTCTTTATAATTGATTGCAGCTTAGCTGGGAAGCTGTGCACTTAAACATGGTCTTGGTGTTAAGTTCCTAATCTTCAATCGAGTGGATTGACTGACTGCATCAGCAGCTCTCTAACCTTGTGTTTATATCATTTTTCAGACACATACCAAGCGCGACAGAGATTGCCCTTGTCTTCAAGTTCGAGAACGGTACAAAGGGTACCTTTGGATGTAAAAAACCAAGGTGTCTCAGCTAATGAGGTCTCCAGTGAAGGTTTGAATGAAACTGATGTGTTTGGTACAGGTCTGCTGAATGAAGTTGGCGAATACAATTGCTTTCTGAATGTTATTATACAGGTTGGTTTTCTTGTATTGTGATTCATGGTCTCTTTCAGCCCACCGTCCTTGGACTTGGCCTTATATGTAGCCCCTTTCTAATCATTTGCTGCCTTTGGTATTAACTGCAGTCATTGTGGCACTTGAGACAATTTCGTGATGAATTCTTGCGGAAATCAGCATCAAATCATGCTCACGTGGGAGATCCATGTGTTGTCTGTGCACTGTATGAAATTTTCACCGCCCTGAACATTGCATCTAGTGATGTGCGGAGAGAACCTGTTGCCCCTACATCACTTAGAATAGCCCTTAGCAACTTGTATCCAGATAGTAACTTTTTCCAAGAGGTAAGTTCAGTTTTTATTCGACATCACCTTTCTAATTGTTAGTATCCCTATCCAATCAATACCCATAATTATGATTTTAGATGGATGTCTATGTTTGAAAGTTCTGACAAAACAGTAGCAATTACAGGCCCAAATGAATGATGCTTCTGAAGTATTGGCTGTAATATTTGATTGCCTTCATCAGTCTTTTACTTCTGGTTCGAGTGTTTCTGATGCTGGTTCTATGGACAGCAACTGCACGGGCTCATGGGATTGTGGGAACAGTACTTGTATAGTGCATTCTCTTTTTGGAATGGATATTTTTGAACGAATGAATTGCTACAGTTGTGGTCTGGAGTCCAGACATTTGAAATACACTACATTCTTTCATAATATAAATGCCAGTGCACTTCGAACAGTGAAGGTATCGATCCTTTGCAGAAGAAGAAAAAAATCTAGAATTGAACAATTTTCTTTCTTGGTTCTCCCTAAAAAACTTTTGTTTACCATTCAGGTTATGTGTGCCGAAAGCTCCTTTGATGAGCTTTTAAATCTTGTAGAGATGAACCATCAGTTAGCTTGTGATCCAGAGGCCGGAGGCTGTGGGAAGCTCAACTATGTCCATCACATTCTCTCAAATCCACCGCATGTTTTCACAACAGGTTGTGCTTGAAGTTACTAAACGAAGTTATGCTTCGTTACTCGGTAGTCACTGGTTTATACTTTTAATGCTTTTATCATTTTTGGTCTTGCAGTTCTTGGTTGGCAGAATACATGTGAAGGTGCCGATGACATAGCAGCAACACTGTCTGCCTTAAATAATGTCATAGATATTAGTGTGCTTTATCGTGGACTAGATCCCAAAAACAAGCATAACTTAGTCTCAGTGGTACGTATGTGCACTCTATTTCCCTCTCCACCAGCGTATGATTTTTATATTCGAATGAAAGTTTCAAAATGCAGAAATAGGTGTGATTATTGGACAGTTTGTAAGGTTTGATTTTTAACTCTCAGGTTTGCTATTATGGGCAACATTACCATTGTTTCGCCTATAGTCATGATCACGAAAGATGGATTATGTATGATGACAAAACTGTCAAGGTAAGTTTGTTTTTCATTACAATGTATTCCAATTTCCATGTCATGTCATCCAGTACTGTGAACTGTTTTCTGATGTTCAGGTAATTGGTGGATGGGCCGATGTTCTTATGATGTGCGAACGGGGGCACTTGCAACCACAGGTTCTTTTCTTCGAAGCTGTAAACTAAACAAATTTATGTTGAATCTTGTTATATTATTTGATACACCAGATGAGTTTAACATGGGTTTTGGCATTGGATGGCCTAAAAGTGGTGTGAGGTGTTGTTCGTAGTCGCATTGCAGTTTATACTGTAAAAATATGCGAAATCGGTTCGTGAGGAAGTTTGAGATGTTTAGTTAGAAAATCCGAAGTTGTGATATTAAAAAGCGGGGTGGGGGAAGAGAATTTTGGGAATCATTCGAGTTTTTTGTAGGAGAAAGTGAATCATTTTAAGGGAAGAAATGTCGTAACAAAGAATTTTCTTTAAAATTTCGAGTTTAGTTTTTTTTGGTACTATGGAACTTCCCGATAAGGTGGCTCTGGTCGACGGAGGGGAAAAAAAAGCCGAAGAATTAAATGATGGGGTGGCCTTGACTACGGCATATCATTGAATGTAGTGCTGCAAGGATCATTGGTAGGAGGATATATATAGCAATTATAAGCGGGGGAGTTATCAGATTTGGGAACTGTTCTAGATGTTTATTTTTCTTTGTTCGAATATTATCCCCTAATATATATTCTGAAGATGTCTAAGAATGGATTTACATTAGGGTATTCAACTCTTGATATTCCAGCTTACATTAAAATTTTGTTATCATGGTGTTGTTGCTGTATTGAAGTGTGTGTGTATATATGTTGAAATCATCTTTTTATATAGTAATAAGTTTTTATAATTTTAATGATTATTTTGTAATTAATAAATCTAATGATCATTTTATAACATAACGTTGCTCTTAAATTGAGAAAAAAAAATCAACAATCTAAAACAAACAAACAAACAAAAAATTATATGGATGATCAGTATTATCGCAGAAAAAGTAAAATATCTCAATTTTCAAACTGGTCCAGGGTATTAACGTTGCACTTTAACAATCAGTTAGGTTGTGGTACATGATATTTAACGTATCATTATTTAAACCGGTCAATATCCCGCAAGAAAGATGATTGATTGTTGAGAATTTCATGTACTGATTTGAGGAGTTTTTACTAGTTTAGGTACAAAAATGATCAACAAAAGCTTTTTAAGTACAAAAATTGTAAAGTTCAAGGACCAATTGGTAGATCAATAACGATGGGTAAATTGCAAAAGTGGTCACTAAGCTATTAAAATGATTTTTTGCCATTAACTTTTTAGGGGTTATAAAATGATTATTAAACTTATTAAATTATTACAAAATGGTCATTAAATTTTATCAAACTAGTACAATCATTAAAGCTTATCAAAGTGTTATAAAATGATCCTCAAAATTTATGCAATGATTATTTTATAACAATTAATAAGTATAATGATCATTTTCTAACTTTCAAAATTTTAGTGATAAAAAAGTTATTTCAATGCCCATTTGTGTATTTTACTCAAATAATTATAGATTTGAAACATGTAGTAGTAATATAGGTAAAACTTTGGTACAACGGTTAATGCAAAGACCAAAGCAAAGGCTAAGGCAACCCCTTGAAATTAGTAAAACTCTCTCTCCCTGGATTCCTCAATATTTGTCCCCTAACACTTGGAAATCTCTGGAAGCTTCCCTAAATCAATACGCCTTTCATCTTCTCTCTGTTTTACTCAGTCATGTCTTCACCCAGCAAATCCGCTCATATCAGACCTTTTCAGGTCAAACCCCCTTTCAGTTTCAACAACCTAATCCTCAGTTCTTTCCCATTTCATCAATGGCTTCTCCTCCATCTTAATTGTTATTATGCGATCATGACTCTCAAGGGTGGCGCCGCCAGTGCCTGCGCCGCATGCAAGTACCAACGGCGGAAGTGCATCTCCGAATGTCTCCTCGCTCCGTATTTCCCGGCCGACCAAACCAAAGTTTTCCAGAACGCACACAAACTCCCGAATGTCTCCTCGCTCCGTATTTCCCGGCCGACCAAACCAAAATTTTCCAGAACGCACACAAACTGTTCGGCGTAAGTAACATCCTTAATATTCTTAGGAGTTTGGACCCCTCGCAGCACGCCGAGGCCATGCGATCGATTAAATACCAAGCCAAAGTTCGAGATAGGTTCCCCGTGTACGGTTGTTTGGGCGTGATAAATCAGCTTAATTATCAAATTCAGCTGCTCGAAGAAGAGTTCCACGCCGTGCTCGCGCAGCTCGAGATGTGCAGGCAATATCATCTGCATCATCGGGTTTCCTCTATGCCCGACGATGTGGCCTCGCAGTTAGAACTCGGCATGTCGATGCAGAATTCGTATCGTGACAGTAATAATTCCTTGTGGGTTCAACACCCTCATCCTCTTGCCAATGGCAGCAGCAATGAGAACGATCATTTTAATGGCGATTCAATCTCAACTGCTGGTTCCTAATTCAGAACCATTAGTTATGCAACAAGAAGTTGTTCATGATTACGATGAGATTCATCCTTTCTTCGATACTATCGACGACAGACAATCTTATATCGATACCAAAGAAGCTCACGAGCATTCATTTATCGAACATGATTAATTTGTGATTTTGATGGTGCAGCAGTTGTGAAGGATCAGGAAAAGAGACAACACAAACAATTGAACGTGTTGCAGAGAATGAATTGAAGAGTGCTGCTGCTTGCTTCGGTCTCACCAGTGTCAACTGATGAAAACAACTTACATTCTTTTATTTTTACTCTTTTTTTTCCTCCTATAAATTAGATATATCAATTTATTTTCATAATATTGAGCTTTTTTTTTTTCATTTTTGCGCTTGAAATAAGAGGTTACAATTTTTTTAGTTAAAAAAGGTTGAGAACAAAAAAAAAATCTACGGATTTTGGGGGGAAAAGTACTGCAAAATGAATTTTTGAAGAAAAAATAAATCTATCTTTATTGTAAATAATTAATTTATATGTCATTGGTAATTTTTTATATCCATTCACCTACAGAATATAAGAATTTGTTTATTACACGTAAGATTTTTATATCCATTCATTATACGATGAGATGATGTTACATAAATAGCAACATCTACTATATTAAATATTAACGAATTATATTTTTTTACCTATTAATATATTTACTTGTAACATTTTCTCGGTGAGGATCATCGGGTATATTTACGACAAGGTGACGGCCGGCGAAAATAAATCTTGCTACGGTACTCGGCGTTTCATGCTTTCGTTTTTCATCATGGCATTGGTTGATTTCGTCGGATCCCTAGTCGCGTTCGCGTTGTTCATCAGGACAAGAAAGTTTTATGGCCAGATTGTGCTTCAAAGAGTAGCTCACTCTTCATGATCATGTCATGAACTTCAATATTACACATGTGCTTTGTGCTTTGTTTCATGAGATAATTTGATTTTTTCCCTTCAATTATTTATGTTTATAAAAACAAATTACTTTAGTTATCTTTACATTAAATAAATATAATTGTTTATATATACAATAAGTAAACGTAAAATAATGTCATATTGACAATAAAATCAACGTTTATGAAAATTAAAATTAATTAAAAACTAATACATAGAATTATGTTTCCAATTAATTATGAAAATTGTGATAAGACACATTATAGTCCTAATGAGATATTAGGTTCAATTTGTATTAAAATGGTTGTCCCTTGTTCCCATATGTAATGGGGTAAGGGGGAGATAAGATAGTAGGCTGCCCCCAACACTAGGTTAAGAGTAGCTTCCGTAGGAGACCTCCAAATTATGAAATACCCTCTATGGGACTCGATCACACGACCTCAAGGTTAAGAACCTTGTGCTCTACCAACTGAGCTAGATGGTCATTTCTTCAATTTGTATTAAAAGAGAACCATAAATTCTAATATATATATGAAAGATAAAGAATAAATCTTCATTATAATGAATTATTTTTTTTGATATAATCACAAATACTTGACTAATTGAATGATTAATTCAAATAAAAGTAAACAAATATTATAAAAATAGTATTTTAATCTAATTTACTTAATTTATAATATTAATATTCACACAATTTATTAAGACCGATTGATAATATAATCCTAGTTTAATAACTCCAAATATCACCGCCGACTTTTAAAACGAGTTGTCCGACTGAGCTTGGGCTTTGGTTAAAAATGTGTAAAATTTCATGGCCCAAATATTATTTTCCAAAGAAAAACCTTGGCCCAAGGATAAAACGGAATTGCATACAGATAATAAAACATCGAATAAAGATTATAAATACTCACTTCTCCCAACACCAATGAGAGATTTGCATTGCCGATCGTCGTTATAATTCTTTTTTTCTTTTGTTTTTCCCTCTCGGTCTACTGAAACTGAAGGACGTACTTGCGATTTGATAACCATAAAAAAATTCAGAAAAAAAACCCTAAAGAATTTGAGAAAATTGGCAGAAGAAGTTTGAAGAGGAAGAGAAGATGAAGACGACAAAGGGAGGCAAAGTGATGAACCCTACGGACTCCTATCGCAAGGAGCTCCGTAAGAAAGAACTGAAACGGGTAAAAAGTTCCTACTCCGTTCCGTTTATTTTTAGGGTTTCTTATTTCCTTTTTATTATTTACTTCGATGATGCTTAGTTCTTTGTTTTATTTAAAAAAAATCAATTTCGCCTCTCGTTTTGCCCTAATTTATTGTTTGGATAAAAAGAAATTCAAAACGATTTCACCTAATTTGAAGAACTTTGTTTTTTTACCTAAATAAATGAATTTACGAAGAACAGTGTTGAAATCTAGGGAAATTATTGGCTTCAATGTTAATATTCGTCTTAAATAAGCTTTTGAAGCTTCACAAAAGATTAAAAACGTGATAAGTTGCATAATTCTATCCATTTGGAACCGAATTTGTAAATATAAGTAATTGTTTCAGCTTGCAATATTTGTATATTTTTATGTTTTTATAGTTTTTAACGTGCTTATTCCAACAGAACAAGAAGGAAAGGAAGAAGGTGAGAGAGGTAGGGATTCTGAAGAAGGATCCGCATGCAATCAAGGAGCAGATTGACAAGTTAGAAATGATGAGTAAGTCGTTCTATTATTATGATGTTTCATGTTTGATATTTTGATTGATGATTTAGTATCTGTTTAGATGCAAATTAGCACTTTATTGAAATGAGCAGAGCTTATTGGTGATTGTTTTGCTTTGCAATTAGAAAATTTAATTTGGAATGTACCTAATTTTCCCCTTTGATCAGGAAATCTTAGGACTAACGTAGAGGACTAAACAAACCTTAATTGCTAGCTTGATTTTGTACTCTATTTTTGCTTTCCTTTTGACGAGGTTTCTGTAACTATCTTTGTGGCATTTAGTCATTTTCTTGAGCTTGGAATTAACCATTTCTTAACTACTGTGAAGAACATAGTTTTCAAAACAAGTTGAGAAAATATCAGTTTCTTTAGGTTTCCATTTTTTTATTTTTTTTAAGTCGAGTTTGGATATTTTGCTGTACATCTTCCTTTGATGAAATTATTATTATATTGGATGCAGCATAAAGATGGAAAACAATTTGTTTTCCCTTTTCCTAGATGGCAATCTCAATGAAAATATGTTTATCTTTTACATTACAATATTGACTTAACAACTACCTACGCAAGTTTTCTTCTCTCTTTTCTTTCTTCCTTCCATTCTATTTATTTGAAGAAAGGCGGAATTGGGTATTGTAAGTGGTTTGAAAAATGTATTCCTG